ATAATGTACAGCTTACAATTGTTTAATAAAGCACACATAACTAGCCTGACAGAGGGTTATAATAAAAAAAAAAAAAATAGATATTTTTTACAAACAAAAAAAAAAAAACCAAAAATAATATTGCTTTGTATTCTTTGTATCTATTTATATAACATATTTATCTTATAAATCTAATTGTCCCTTAATTATTATTCATTCACTTGCTCTTTATTTATTTAATCCAATTCTTTGTTTTACATACAAATCCACTTTACATTCAAAAATCCTGTTAACCCTATGTATGTTATGTTCTGTAAACCCTTACATTTCACACACTCGCTTACACTAAATACTTTACATTTCTAGGTTTTGTCTTTTGTTCCTCAAACCACAATCACGAAAAAAAAATCACGAAAAAAGTATGTACTGCATAAACGCATATAAGAAAATAGATACGTCAAAAAAAAAAATAAGAAAATACGCAAAAAAAAAATTTTTTTATTAATGTATATTGATGATACACACCATTATAATGTCCATGCATGAACCGGCAAATTTCTACAAGGGGGGGTACTATACACCGCGACATACGGTACTAGAAATATTCAAGGATCGTCAGTTAAACTAAAAGACATGTACAGTAAATCTAATATAATAATTCAAAGAAAATTTTATTAACCATTGAATTAAATAAATTATTAATTCGTTAGCGAGCATAAATCCAAAATATCCTAGGGAATAGGCTTGAGGTATTCGATAAAAATCGTACGCCCAAAAGTTTCGCCATTAAAAATCAATAGGGTTGTGAGATTACAACTTGGGATTTCAAAGTTTGTCATCGTAATACAAATTGTACTAGTGCAAATTTTTAAATTCGAATTTTCTTTTAATGTACGCGTTTAATTTAACTGCGCTTGGTAATAATCCGCAATAACATACAAATTGGGAATGTCAAATGTAAGTAAACCTTGCAATGTCGTACTAATTCCGCCATAATATTAGAACCCAATGTATACATCAACGACCGACCATGCTACCAATCAAAAGGACTGTTTTATTGGCAACATTAATTATAATTTTTGTAATTGAAAAAGACGATGCTCCGAATAAACGAACGATCTCGGCAGATTCATGAACACATGCGCCCACAAATAAAAATGTTTCAGAATATGAATCAAGTGCAAGATATGAACCATATATAGTTAGAAATGGAATGACCCTTCTGCGGACAATCATGGTCGCAAAGTTAGTTGCAAACATCTCACTGTTTATATTATTCAACATTTTTAGCAGTGTTATTTCTCGCCCTCGCCTGAGTAATGTTCATCAGCAGCTTTACGTAAATTTATCGTGATACCAATACCCATAGTCACTATGGCATCTACTTCCACAATGATAAATATGTTTGCTGTCTACATTACATGCATTCACTGTAACCTTTGAGGAGAATTGCAGAAGGGATTATAGTAATTTATATAAGTGTGGCAAATTTTCTCGAATTGGTTTATTAAAATCTCCTTTCTCAACACACACATTCTTTAATATCTCGAATAAAGATGTCGCAAACCACAACCACCACCTACGTTCAACAACCACAAGTTTACCAGAGTACCCCGCAAATGCAAGGAGGTCAGACGGTAATAGTTCAAGAGACAATCACATACGGGAGTCAACCTCGCAATTGGAGGTTTGGTCTGTTTGATTGTTTTGCGGATGTTGGACTGAGTAAGTTTATAAATGTGAATGTGTTGAAAAGAAACTGAAATTTTCTTTGTTCACTAATCTTCTCGGGTCGACTCACTTATCTAATTCACAGCCCTTAAGACCTGGTGTCTTCCTTGCGTCACCTATGTAAGAATTTTCATATGTTGTATAATGTGCAAATTCTTTTTTTTTTTTTTTTTTTCCTAAATTTATTTTCTAATTAAAGGGAGAAACGAAATCGAAAGTGAACAATAATCCCTCGAGTTGCACCACCAACGCTTTGATCTATTGCTTGGTCGGATCTTGCGTTGGACCTTGTATTATGGGCGCCCTGGGTCGCAATGAGATACGCGTAAAGTATAACATCATAGTAAGTTGATTTTGGGGGTAACATTTCTTTTCGAAAATTTCCACCTGCTGTGCACCGATTCAACCTTCTATCGCACTCTTCATCAAATAGGGTTCAGCGGGAGAAGATTTCTTGACCCATTGGTGTTGCGGATGTTGTGCGTTGATACAAGAGAGTCGTGAAGTTACTTCCGTGCAGACTGGAAATTAGAAAACGTCGATATAGAGCCACGAACTCGGATACATTATTATTATTATTATTATTATTATTATTATTATTATTATTATTTCGTGTTTAATAATGTCCCTGTCGTCGATAATATAATATTGAGGATAAATAATATATAAATATATAAATATAGTATATACTTGTTATATTTTTGTTATATTTTTATTACATTAAACTATGTAATCAACCATAAATATATAAAAAGCGCAAATTTTTTTCAGAAAGTTGCACGACATTTCTCGTTTGAATATTTTCTTAAAGCCAAATTACACAGTATAGTACACGCCCAGTATCTCGATGAGTTATTATGCACGATGTGTGGTCGTTACGTGGAATACGGTATAAAGTTAGCGGGCGGACATTTTGCATGACAGTCATTTCTCGACACGTGTCTCCACCGACGAATTTACTTCGAGATCACATGATCTAACAAAATAGATGCACATGCACGTAATGCGTGCGCACATTTCAGTTGAAAAATTTATTATGCTGTACGTCTGGTTTGACTTTTTTTTTTTTTTTTTTTTTTTTGATATTTCCTATACCCAACATTCCGTTAAAAATTTCCCCAATATTCAGTAAGCTAATAATAGTGTGGTGATAAGTAATGAAGAAAAGCAATTAGTTTACAGAGTAGCTAAATAAATAAATGTATATGTATATATATGAATATGTATAATCTATATAGTTTTTTTTTTTTTTTTGTTAGCACGACACACCCATCCCATTGCACAAGTGAAAAAATAAGAAGAATAATAAATTGTCCAATTTCATTACATCTCTTAAACTATCTAAGCAAAGAAATGTGTATTCCTTTTACTATCCTCATGAACCTGCATTTCTACCATTTTGTACTCATTAAGTTCCTGCTTAATCCTTTGAGCCAGCGAAGGTGTGAGCCTATTACACGTGGAATGATCGCCACGACGGTCATAATCCTCCGATGTCCACGTATCGCGTACGAGAACGGTCGAGGAAAACTTTAGTTTTTTTAATGTAGGTGTGGAGGGAGCGGGTGATACATCTACGTCTCGAACCAATGTTAAAGAAGGAACTGATCGAGATGCGCTTTCGATTAACTTGGAATACGGCCTATTATCATTGTTGCTACTATTATTGTTACTATTATTGTTACTATTATTATTACTATTATCGTCGTTATTATCGTCGTTATCGTTGTCGTTATTATTGTCGTTATTATTGTCACTGTTATTGTCGTCGTTATCATTAATGAGAATTGAAGTAGGAGCTGCGAGAGATTGTGATACTGGCATCGAAAATGGTCGTCGTTGTTGCTGTTGTTGCTGTTCGTTGTGATCGTTAGAGAATGGATCCAGTTTGATCGAATGAAGTTGACTACAAATTAAAGGCAACGTTGGTGGATCTTTCGTCGACAGTGATGATAATCGCAAGGAGGAGATCGACTCTGGTTCGTGAGATATTTCATTGTTGTTATAAAGTTATTATTATGGTAAGTAAGCTTGAGACAGCAAGAGAAAAAAAAGAAGGAAAAAGTAATTCTCACCCCTCTTTGTAAAGTCATTGCTCCTCACTTGTTGCCTAGATTTGTTATTTGAATTATCTATTGTAATTGGGTTACTGAATCTTCTATCAGCTTTTTTTCTTTTGTTCTTTATTGATGACATCCTTTTGAGTTTTACCGAAATTACTTTGTACACTATCTTTAAATCTACCATTTCAATGTAAACTCTAATTTATCTATACAATCGATATTCTATATAATTAAAAGGTTTCTATATCTAGTAAATGATGTGCAAAATGTTCTGCACCATTTTACTAGCGGATGAAAGAATCCTTGCTATCTAAAACTATTCTACCCAAGATGCCTTGCAGTTGAATAAAAACAAAAATTAGGTGCGATGCTTCTCTTGAATAATGCAAATATGACCGAGCTTCAAAGGTTCGCTTTGCTTTGGGTGATGGAAAAAAAAATTCTTGTATAATGGAAATGCCGCAAACCTTTCTCACCTGTAGTAGTTGGTTATTCAAAAGTTCACGATGGTAAAATGAGTGAAGGTTGTTCTATTCAATTAAAGTCCGATGAAAAGAAGGCGTGGTTAAACAGAAAACCTTTCTATTAAAAAGTTCCAAGGCAAACAATAAATTTTCTGAGGATTTCCCCGTCCCTTTAGAAAGGCGAAAAAATTTTTTTTTTTTTTTTCAAAACAAAAAGTGCTCATGTCAAACAAATAGAGGTTTTGCATGTCGTGCGATTCACGTGACAAATTTGTACCCATTTTTTTCAATTGGTCTATAATCTTGAGCTTAAATCCGATATACAGTATGATGTAATAACCAATTCGTAAAATTTGCCAAAAAAAGTAGTTTATGCCTTATCCCGGTTAATTGGTCTTTGATGCATTACGTCACTTTATTAGTCCATTTACAGTATGTGCATATATTACGTATATGCTACGTAGTTGAAGGGTGTCTTGCAAATTCCACCACCCCATCGGTCATTCGTTTAATTTATCGGCATTCTTTGTTAACGTATTCATAAAGAACACGTACGCCCGCAGAGTGCACATTCATGAAATGTTCGCCATAAGTTTGGGTGCTTTGTGTGAAGATACTTAAGCCAAAAGGCTAATGATGAGTGCGTTGTAATACTGTAAAATAGATGATGATATTACATACGGCATTTCGATTATTTGTTCTTTACAATGGAACAAGAATGTAATGTAGAAACGAACCAAAAATCTTAATTTGGACGTTATGAATAAAAATAAAGAAGAACCTTCTGCCAACTTCAAGGCTGCAAATTTTGTGTCTCGATCGACCTCCTTTTCACCATTTCCTTGTTGCACACGTGAAAGCCTCGACAATATTATTCTCTTATTTCACAACGTACATGCTAATTCGAGGACTTGCAGCGGTCCGAAAATGCCTCTCTTCCCAGTAATATTCCTAAGGTATTCTACACTAGGCGAAAACCCGTTTTCGATTATCGCAAAAATGTCAAGTCTAAAACTGTGGGTTACATATGGTCAGTGTTTAGCCGAGAATGTCGGAAAAATATTTTGGTGTGGTAACAAATGAATTGAGAATGAGTTTAGCATGAATTTCACTTATGCATGCGCGTATACTGTATGCGTGTAACGGCAAACCCATGTTAACAGTCAATGAACTAATAATTCCGTGAGAACAATCGATATCTCAGAGACGGACAAACAATAAAAAATTAAATTCTCAAATGTTATACAATGTTATGAATAAATAAAAAGAAAAGAAACTAGTCTAGTTATAAAATTCGGGCCGCCATAATCTAGATTCAATCTAGGATTACTCGGTCAGAAATTGCTTCAAGTGTTTCTCGTGCGTCCGTTTCCGTTTTTTCCTTGGTTTTCGCTTTTTCCAAGTAGTACACTGCTTTTATAATGTCTTTTCTCGTCCCTATCCCATTTTTATAGGATCTGCCAACGTCGAGCTGACCATACTCGTAATCGTTTTCTGCCGACCTTAAGAATCTCTCGAAGGCCTTCTTTTTGTCCTGGCAAATGCCCGTTCCGTTGTAATATAAACATCCTACATTATACGAACCAACACTGCATCCATTTTCTGCGGACTGTAAATACCATTTGAACGCTCTATCCGAATCTTTTGACACCCCGCTCCCGTTCTCGTAGCATATTCCTACTTCATTTTGAGCATTCAAACTTCCACCCCCGGCCGCCTGCAAAAGCAACTTGAAACCTTTCGCCTCATCCTTCCGAGTGCCCAAACCCTTGAGGTAACTGTATGCGACATCGTAGAGACCTACGATGCATCCTTTCTCGGTGGACCTCCGAAAGTACTCAAAAGCCTTCGATTCATCTTTCTCGACACCATACCCTTCCGAATAACAATATCCCAGGCAAGATTCCGCCAAACTTGACCCTTCTCTGGTGGCATTTAGAAATAGCTGAAACGACTTTTGAAAATTCTTCTCGACCCCTATGCCATATAAGTGTAGATACCCAAGGAACACGATTCCCAGAATCTTGTTGGATGCCCTATGCCTGTTCTCAGGCGGGGAATGGTTGTTTCCAAATTCTTGTCTGATGTCGGTGTTCTCGTTAGCGGCTAGTGAAAACATTTCAAATGCCATCTTGTAATCAATTGAAGTGCCAATTCCAAAGCGATAGAAGAATCCTACCAGGCTCGTTATGTAAGGAAAGTAACGGCATCGAATTATTTGGTGGAATAATTCGGTGTTGTTCCTTTTTGAATTCTTGATGTAGATTCTAATCAGAGTAGCTACATCGCTCGATTGATGCTGAATATTGAATTGATCGAGAAAGTAATTAAATAAGTTTTTTATGAACTGGTCGTTTTCGGTATTTGCGCTAATATAATTGGATTTGGGTTCACGGACATCATCAAGTATCATGCTGAGATTTTTTTTTTTTTTTTTTGCACTCACTATACTTACGTTATAAAGAAAGAGTGTAAATCGGTAGCGGGCGTACATGCACTAATTTATCAAACAAAAAAAAAAAAAAAGAGGACGGCCCAATCAGGAATCGCCAAACTGCTGCGGCCAATATATACTGTATAAAATTGGAGCGCACATTTCTCACAATAACACACACGGCATTGCGCTTGCAATGGAGGAAAAAAAAGTGCTGTGTTTATAGAATAAGCAAATCATACTGGTGATGAGCAACACCTTTAGAAAATAATGTTTAATTTTTAACCCAAAATCATCCGTTCTAAAATTATCTCTAGCATGAAATCAGCTTGTGATTTAACGGTATCTTCATTTTTTGCCTTTTCCAGCCAGTGTATTGCCTTTATGGTGTCGACCTTTGAACCAATTCCATAATAAAATCGTTCGCCCACCTCAAGACATCCATATTCATAACCCATCTCTGCTGATTCCATGAACCAATGAAAAGCCTTCTTTGAGTTATGATCAACTACTATGCCACTATCGTAAAGTCGGCCTACATTGTATTGTCCATATACGTAGCATACTTTTGCACTTTTCAAATACCACACAAATGCCTTGCTCAAATCTTTCATCACGCCGTTCCCATTCTCAAAACATATTCCCAAACTATTCTGTGCCTTTATACTTCCACCATCTGCCGCTCGCAAGAGTAATTCAAAACCTCTCTTTTCGTCTTTTTGAACCCCAAGACCTCTTTGATAGCAGTACGCGGTATCACAAAGGCTTACGATGTTTCCTTTCTCTGCTGAGATCAGAAAATACCCAAAAGCCTTCTCTTCGCCCTTCTCAACGCCGTATCCCTCCGCATAACAGTATCCCAAAAAGGATTCGGCCAAGCTTGACCCCTCTTTGGCAACTCCCATGAATGTTTGAAATGCTTTCTTTTGATTCTTATCCACGCCTATGCCATATAAATAAAGGTATCCGAGAGACACTGTACCTAAGATTTTGTTTTGTTTACGGAACTTTACTAAAAACGGGGAGCTATTGAGGTCAATTAAATTTGTGTCTGTATTGGCCGCCAATGCGAACATTTCAAAAGCCCTTTGATATTCAACATTTGTACCAATTCCAAAGCGATAAAAAAATCCTATCAAACTTGTGATACAATGAAAATAATTGCACTTGAGCATTTGATACAACACTCGTGTGTGATTCTTTCCCTCATTTTTTATGTAACTTCTTACTAAAGTAGCAATGTCGGCTGATCGATGCTGAATATCAAATTGTTCTACGAAGTAAGTAAAAAGGCTTCGTATGAATTGATCTTTTTCGAAATTTTGATCGATGCGTATGGACGATGCCATATTAGCTATAAGATAGGGTGAAGAAAGGGTAGGTAAAAATAATTAAGCATGAATGAACGCCTTAAACTTTATTTTTATACATGTGACACTGTATTTCACTTACAAAAATAGCGATTCGAATTCGAAAGTTCCGATTCTTCGCATTAAACACGCCATTGGCGCGTATAACCTTTGGGCACACACGACCGACTCTAATTTGCACGACGCTTATTTTCAAGAGATTTTTCTACGCTTTCTTTTTTTTTTTTTTTTCAAAATTCTTTAACCAAAACTCATTCAAACAATATCAATCCCCCCTTAATTGCTAAGAATAAGTGGTTTTTGGCACATCCGTTCTATGGCCTATTAAAAAATAGAGCACTCATCTCTTTATATTCACCTTCAAGCTTTATCTTTACGCTCAAAAAAATTTCCATCACAATGTACACCCCCTCTAAATTCATTCAATATGTTTGACTATTGTTTAAAGAAATTATACAGTAAATGCACGACGTTCTTATGGGTTTTATCGCTACTCTTGTTTATAACCATTAAACCAATTCTATTGTTATTTGAAATAGAAGAGTTATACTAAATTTAATTACAAGTCTATGGCATATGTCATTTATTGTCAATGAAATTGTTTCGATTACGTTCATTTCCACCAATATATACAATATACAGTATACTATATACGTATAGTATATACAGTAAATACAGTATATACAATATATACTGTATATACTGTATTTATTTATTTAGCCCCAAGTTAACTTGGTGGATCTTGTATAGATGCTTCAAAAGAAAGAGTAAGCTCACTTATCAATAATTTTCCATTTCCAAGTTGAAGAACATTAAAAGCATTTTCAAATTACAAGTCATTTGTAACCCAAGTTTTCTAAAAATAAATAAACAATCAATTCGTTTTTAGATTTGGGATGGTCCCGTTTTAATCGGGTTTTTCTTGTACAGATAAAGAATCCAGAGTACATAAAGTTTATCCAAAATACCTTAGAGAATTACATGGTATATTAAATACTTTGAAATTTTATATAATTAAGATAATTTATTGTTATTGCTAAATAAATTTTTATGATACTTTGATAACAAATTTAAAATATTTTACTGTATAGAAAATAAAATACTTCAAAATATTATAATTGAAATATTATAAAACTTATAATAAAAAAATTTTTTGACCTGTGGATCAATAGCACAGTGGCAGTGCTCCCAGGTTGCAATCACAAGATCTGAAGTTCAATATCACTTAAGGACCAAAAATCAAAAATTACCTTTCTGATCAGGTTTTATCAATTATCTTGTGAAAGTTATATCCAATTATCTGAAACAAGTTCTAATTAAGTTAGGCTACATGAAGATGGGACTTCTGGCCTTCCATCGATCAGGAGCTGAGATCTATGGCCATACTACTGGAAGGATTGCATGAAGAAAAACTTCTGGTCTAACCTATCATAAAAACACTCCAAAAGACCCCTGTCCTGGTAACCTCCAGGATCCACACCCTTCTAACTCAAGATATTTCAATCTGGTGCTCTGTTTAAATGAAAATCAGTCACATGGGACTGATCCAATATCACAAGTGGTGTCAAAGAAGGAAAGTGCCCCTTTTCAAGGTCTGAGTAAATAATATCAAGAAGTATTGGAGGATGATCAAATCTTATCGGATACATACAATAATAGCCTAATTTAATGAATATAATATAAAAATTTATAAAGCTCACTACTAAATTAGTCTAACTCACCATTGATGACTATATATTTGACCATCTGGTCCCTAGCCGAATCTGTCCACTTACAGAGTAGTAATAGGTTCATCTAAGATAAACTACGATGGGTTATTATTAATCTATATATATATAGAAATATATGGTTTATATAAGATGATTGATATAATTGCTGTAGAATTTAATTATCTATCAAATTGTTAAGTTAACTCTTAATAAAAGTTTGCATCTAATACCAGTTGTAATTTAATAAAAAATAATAATAATAATAAATTTTTTAATGCTAGTTCAAAATTATTTTATTTATAAAAAATTATAATAATATTATTAAATTAAAGATTAAATCAAGATATATTGTTTCAAATAATTATGAAATTAGATAATATTGAAATTTATAAAATCTATAAATTATATAATAATAAAATTGATATCTTAAAAGTTTTAAATTTATAAATTATCTAGTAATATTGATTCTTTAAATAAAAATCTTATCTAAAATAATTCAAATAGTATATTATATAATAAACAATATACTGTATATATAAGTCTTAAAAACTTGAAATAAAATTTTACTTACAAAGAAATATTCTAAAAAAATTAATTTTCAAAAAACTTATTTTAATTTTATTTTAAAAACAATAAAAAAGTTTTATCTATTTCTTTACTTATTGTTATAATTTAATTGCTAATCTTTTTTATATAGCTTTGACTTTTTTAATAAAAATTCAAACATTTTACTATCCATTTTAACAATTATAATTTAATTGCTATATATAAGTAATTTTTTTTTGCACTTTGTCAAACTAGTTACATATGCTTTATTAAACATTTGTAAGCTGTATATATAATATGAGAGACTAAAGTTAATTCTTTAACTAACTCATTTGTTTTGATTGTTTTACTTTTCTAAGTGTAACCTCAGGAATAATTTATTGCTCCATTAAGAGTTCAGGTAAATACTCTTTCAACTTCTAACATAATTATCTACAGATCACCTTTTTGAGTTCTGATAAAGATTAAAACCAAACCATTTTATCTCATATTTTATCTTATCTTATAGAACCTGTTTGAATATTGTATTTTCTAATTCTTCTTCTTTTAATTATACTTGATATGACTGATTTTCTGATACCTTGACCCTGTTTTTTTGCTTCTGTAGATGTGTTGACTTTTTGATCTTGTTACTTCTGTTGATTTTCAATATTCATTCTCACTCAATCACCTTTTCATATTTGACATTCCAAATTTTTTTTCTAAAGTGATTACATGTTTTCTTCTGTATCTTCATTATCTACTTTTTTGCTTCTTTACTAATTCTCTTTCTATAACACATCAAGTCTGCTATCTCATTTATTAGATCTTTTTTAATCAATCCTATACAGAAACTAAGTATATTCTGATCAATATTTGAGATCCTTTCCACTAGTTAAACTATTTTCTTGTTTATTTCTTCTCTTTACATTCTGTTATCAACTGCCAAACTTATCTCTTTTTCATCTGACACCTTTTTCCTATCTATCAGAAGTTTGTTAAAACCTTGCATTATATCTTTTATATCTTTTTTCCAGGTTTTTTATCACTGAGTTTTATATATATAACATTTTAACAAATGTTCTATTGTCTCTTCTTGCTGTACACATGTGAGACATTTTACTTGCTTGTATAAATCTGATCTTTTTGTGGCTAGCTTTGTTAATGTGGATAGTTTGTTGCTAATCATCTTAGCAAGAAAGCTTTTTTTTTATAATTTTTTGAAAAAAGTATTTCATATGTGATTATTATTCATTTGTTCCCAAACTAGGTCCCATATATACCTGTACTAGTCTTGAATTTGATGACTTTACTTTTTGTTTATTCTATTTTGATTATATATTAATACATTATTATTTTGACATTGATTTTTTTAACAAACTGCTTTATTGGAACATTTAACACTATATCTTGCCATTTGATTTCAGTAATAATTTTAGATAAGTCCAGATCTTACCATTCCATTATTGAAAACTTTAACGCTTCTTTGCACTAGTCAAAATTATATCATTTAGCAGCTGAATTATTGCCAAATTTGATTAAATTTAATAATAAAAATATTGCCAAATTCTTTTTGATTGCTGCCACTCGGCATATTACATTTCAGCAATAAAGTGGCAATCAAAAATTCAGCAATCAAAAATTCAGCAATC